AAAAGATCGAGTTAGGTGGTGGGCCCTGAGAAGCGTTCCCACGAGGGAACCTGCTCTATACCATGTGAAGAATGAGGAATGAATGAATTAGGAAACAGGTGGGTACAAGTAGGAAAACCTAGAAGTGTTGTACCCCATATTGTTTACCCCACTACAGCCTACATAGACTATAGCATATAAGTTTGACACAACACTCCTGATATATTCACCAAGGCACTTCAGCCTGGTGAACATCAGCGATTCTGTACTGTTTTAGGCCTTGTGCCTACTTTGCCTCACTTGCTCACTGTGTGATTTTGCTTGTACTGCTATCTATATACATATACTTGCATGCTTACCCCTGCTAGGTTATGATCACTGTACTGTTTGTTCTCGTTTATATAATTCTACATGAGAATTGGCCTTGTGGCCATTTGCATGTGCTCAGAGTGAGTGGTGACTTAGTGATCCACCCTGAGCTTGCTTTGTTTTTTTCTTGACTGGTCTTGTGACCCCTTGTTCTCCCCCACTTTGCCGATGGGGGTGTCTCAAACTCTGATAATGTCTATATTGTGTAGGCTTTAGTGGGGTAAGCCCATAAGGGGTACAACCCAATTAGGGTTAGTACTTGTACTCAGCTGCTGTGAGGGTGGCGAAGTACCTAGCGACGACATCAGGAGTGGGGCTGGTACTTGGAGGGACACAGCTTGTCGTACTTACTATTCACTTTGACTCTTCTTACACGGACGACGCCGAGAATCACAGGTCTACTTAGGGGCTGTTATGTGATGCTATCATTTGCATTCACGTCTGTCTGCCTCCCATCATATGTTCGTGTGTTGCATGCGTGGTGTGAGCGTGTGCAAGAATTTGTGTTTGGTGTTGTTTGGATTTTCTGAGTGTGTGTGAATGTTATTTGGCTTGAGCAGATATCTGAAGTGAGTCCTCTGCTCAAGAGCTTCCCAACGAACCGAGAATCGCCGCGATCGGAGCAAGAACGAGAAAGATATGATCGTTCGAAGTTTTAATTGAGATGCGGCGACTATGGGAATTTGCGGGTTGACTCAATATGGGGTACAGAATTTTTGTGGGTTTGGAAATTCGATACCATCACTGTAGATGATGCCAAATGGTTGGGAGAAGCCAAACCAGGTTGGCAAGTGTGGCCAAGTTGGGTGAGGTGGATGGCATGAGTTGGGAAAGTGACAAATGTCAAAGTTGGGGTGCCTATAAAGAGGTGAATTGTGTGGTATGGGGTTTCCTTGGTTGGGGACTCCCTTGGGACCTTCCCTCTCGTCCTCCTCATCCCCTCCTACCTGGTTCTATTGCTACTCCAACTTTTTTGTGTGAACTTGTGAGATCATTGTGATTGAGTTACGTTTTCTATGGCAGCATACCCCCTAGTGCGTCGAAATTTATAACTCAAGTTATACTCCATATTTTGATACTATTCAAATTGGGAAAGATAGCCACGATCAAGGGCTACAACATACCGAGTTTGAGAAAATTCTAACTATGCGTTAATCGTTGACAATGTTTCTTGTGACGACAACGTTTTTGTCCAGAATTGTAGTTGACGATTTTGAGATATTTCAGCCCCTAATCTTCACAGACTTCGTCCTTAGTCTCTAACAAGTGGTATCAGAGCTGATTAAGGACTTTTTGGAGAGTCTACTGAAGTGTGAAGACCCTCCTAGACCCACTATGGCCTGTGGGCGTGCCTAAGTGGAGTTCTGGAGGTTGCATGTGACTTCCGCTAAGGGGAAACTCTGCCGAAATTTCGTTGGCGCCGATACTTGTGGAAATTGAGTGGGACTTCGGTATGGACAGCAAAGGGGGAGCTGGAACCTATGTTTGGGAGCAGAGGAAATGATTCAAGGGAGTGGAGATGCAGCTGAGAAGAGAAATGAACCGACACCATCCAACATCGAGGCATTGGATGGCTCAAACTATGAGGAATGGAGCGGGCGGATGCGGAGTGCATTCAAGCGCTACAAGCTGCTGAAACTTGCGACGGGTGAAGAGAAGATACCGGAGGAAGGAGATGCCCGCGATCGGTGGATTGAGAAGAGTGCGTACTGTACGACCTAATCCTCCAATCGGTCAACAACGATATGTTCCAACACATCAAGGATTTGGTGGAGTTGGATGATTCCGGACCAAAGGCGTGGAAGCTACTGCGCGACGTGATTCAGCCCAACACGCTGCTGATGGAGATTGTGTTGGAGAAAAAGCTGGCTGCCCTCTCCATGCGATCGGGCGATGATGTGAAGCTGGTCCTTGACAAGATCAAGGACACCTATGCGAGGATGGCAGCGGAGGGAAGCAATGTGTCGCAGATGCAGCTGTGCACCAAGATCATCTCGGTGCTCGACAACTCGTGGGAAAACCTCATCCCCACCCTCAACACTCAGCAGGACCAGTGGACACCTGAGTGGCTACGGCAGCAGATTCTGCAGGAGGACTTCCGCAGGTGCCACACGGGTGGTGGTGCTGCCAACAAAACTGCTGAGGGGTATGGAGCTGCAGGAGGCAGCAGAGGAAGAGGGGGAGGGAGAGGCCGAGGCCGTGGGAGAGGCTTTGGCAGAGGGAGAGGCCGAGGTGACTACAACGAGGGGCATGGGAGCTCTGGTAGCAGGGGGAGTACCCGAATGGAGGGAGCGTGCTGGTACTGCAAGAAGGCTGGACACCCGTGGTTCAAGTGTTTCAGCCGGCCTGAGGGATGGGCATCCCCAGGCATGAAGCCGCCAAGTGGTGAACATGCACGAGGTGGTGCTGTGCAAGGTTCAGGTGCACAAGGTGATGGTGCACACGGTAAAGCCGACCCTGGGATGTTCCTCATGGTTGAGGATGTGAAAGGGAGTGAGGGTGATGTGGGTTCAGTTGGGAAGGTTGTGATGCACCCCCTCACTCACTGGGTGATAGATTCAGGTTGCACAAGTCACATGACCCCACAGGCAGATTTGCTTGACGAGGTAAAGCCCCCCGGAAAGATTAAGTTTGTGGCTGCCGCTTCAGGTGCTTTGCTCTCTGTGATTGGTGTTGGGAATGCCAAGGTAATGGGAGCCAATGGGGGGCTTGTGGGGCTGGAGAATGTGCTGTTGGTTGAAGGCTTGTCCGCTAACCTTCTTTCTGTGCGCCGGCTGCAGAAGAGCAAGGCTTAAGTTACCTTCGGTCCAACCAGCTGCTGTGCAAAGCTTGGGAAATTGCTGCTGTGGGATTTGGAGGAGAAGAGCAGCTGCATCAAGGACCTATGGCAGCTGCCCATTATCCCTTGGAACGGGAAACTACCAGCAACGGCAGCGGCAGCAGCAACGGCAAAGGCAACTGCAGGAGGAGAGGAGACTGCACCATCTGATGGGGCTCTGGATGCAGTCAAGAAGGTGCAGCAGCCACAGCAGCTACTGCTGAGGCTGAGATCTACGATAGAGCCATGGCTGCATAGAAGCTCCGCTGGTTGACCTTCTTGCTTACAGACCTTGGTGAGCGGCCGAGGTCTGCACCGACCTTGTTTACTGACAACAAGGCTACGATTTGCCTCTGTCAAGAGCCTCGACTGGAGAGCATAGTGGAGCACATAAACATCAGGTACTTTCTTCTGCGAGAGTTGTAGAGGCGTGGACAGGCTCGCTTGGACGTTGTGGAGTCCGAGGCCAACACTGCATGTCAGAAGTAGAAACGTAAGGATGACTAGAATGGGGACAGTACAGGATTGTATAGCTAACCCTAATTGGGGTTGTACCCAGTAAAGAGTACCCCACTATAGCCGAGCAAGTAGAATTGTAATTTGACACTGCAGATTTCTTTACCAAGGCTCTTCTGCCTTGTGACCACCATAGGTGTTGTTTGCAGTTAGGTCTCGTTGACACAGGTTCTCGTATTGTGTAGACTTTGCTTGTTTTGTTGTACACTTTGCATATGCTGGAAACATATAGTTTGCGCTTCTGATGTGTAGAGCACTAAAACAAAAGCGAAGCGAACTGTATCAAAGCAACATCGAGTCAACGAAAGCGGTTGATAGAAAGACAACAACAAGAGGTTGAGTGAAGGTAAAAGGTCAGTGACCTTGACTCGCCGAAAAGTAGCGCGACAGCAAGGACACATAACTGACTCACTATTGAGCAGTTACCCGAGTCGTCGCTGTATCGAACTGCAACAGTAGTTACAGTTAGTGAAACCTTTCATATTCCGTTGTAATCATATAAATCTTTGTATCTCTTTGCTATTATTAACTTATCTTGTTCTCACATACCAGTGCAAGGTGGTTCAATTACTATCAGAATGTATTTGCTGTCTAGCCTGCAGTGGGGTACTCTGTAGTGAGTACAACGCAATTTAGGGTTTGCTATTTGTATCCCAACTCTTCCTAGTGAAATCATTCTATTCCTTTTCTCTCGACACTCAACTCTCTCGACATTCAATGCTAAGCTCCTCTCTCTCGCCATGGCTCCCAAGCCCAAGTTCACTCTAGATTCTAACATGCTATCACAGTAGGTCGTTCCTAGGACCTCACATCAATGGGCCCACCACCTAATGCCCTGCTAGCCTAGGCCCCGGCCCGTCGCCCCTTGGCATCGCCCCTAGCCCCTAGGCTCGGCCCCTTGGCCCCGTCGCCCCTAGCTGTGCCCCTCGGCCCTGCTGGCCTCGTCAACTCCGTTGCCCGCGCCCGGCCCAGTACCTCGCCCAGCGCCCGGCCCGTACCTAGCCCGCGCCCGGCCAAGTACCAAGCCCGCGCCCGGCCCGTACTTAGCCCTCGATCGGCCCGTACCTAGCCCACGCTCGGCCCCGTTCCTAGCCCCGCGCCTGGCCCCGTACCTAGCCCGCGCCCGGCCCGTACTTAGCCCGCGATCGGCCCCTACCTAGCCCGCGCTCGGCCCCGTTCCTAGCCCCACGCCTGGCTCCGTACCTAGCCCGCGATCGGCCCGTACCTAGCCTCGCGCCCGGCCTCCGTTCCGCGCCCAACGCCCGGCCCCGTCTGTCACCCGCGCCTGGCCCCGTACCTAGCCCGTGCCCGGCCCGTATCACGCCCGCGCCCGGCCCGTACTTAGCCCGCGCCCCAGCCCCGTACCTGCCCAGCGCCCGGCCCCGTACCTGCCCAGTGCCCGGCCTAGTACCTGCCCAGCGCCCGGCCCCGTACCTGCCCAGCGCCCGGCCCCGTACCTGCCCAGCACCCGGCCCCGTACCTGCCCAGCGCCCGGCCCCGTACCTGCCCAGCGCCCGTCCCGTACTTAGCCCGCGCCCCGGCCCCGTACCTGCCCAACGCCCGGCCCCATACCTGCCCAGCGCCCGGCCCAGTACCTGCCCAGCGCCCGGCCCCGTACCTGCCCAGCGCCCGGCCCCGTACCTGCCCAGCGCCCGGCCCCGTACCTGCCTAGCGCCCGGCCCCGTACCTGCCCCAGCGCCCGGCCCCGTACCTGCCCAGCGCCCAGCCCCGTACCTGCCCAGCGCCCAGCCCCATACCTGCCCAGCGCCCGGCCCCGTACCTGCCCAGCACTCGGCCCCGTACCTGCCCAGCGCCCGGCCTTGTACCTGCCCAGCACCCAGACCCGTACCTGCCCAGCGCCCGGCCCCGTACCTTCCCAGCGCCCGGCCCCGTACCTGCCCAGCGCCCGGCCCCGTACCTGCCCAGCGCCCGGCCCCGTACCTGCCCAGCACCCGGCCTCGTACCTGCCCAGCGCCCGGCCCCGTACCTGCCCAGCGCCCGGCCCCGTACCTGCCCAGCGCCCGGCCCCGTACCTACCCAGCGCCCGGCCCCGTACCTGCCCAGCGCCCGGCCCCGTACATGCCCAGCGCCCGGCCCCGTACTTGCCCAGCGCCTGGCCCCGTACCTGCCCAGCACCTGGCCCCGTACCTGCCCAGCGCCCGGCCCCGTACCTGCCCAGCGCCCGGCCCCGTACCTGCCCAGCGCCCGGCCCTGTCCCTAGCCCAGCGCCCGGCCCCGTACCTAGCCGCGCCCCTCGGCCCAACTGGCCTCGTCGCCCCTAACTATGGCCCCTCGCGACCTGCAGCCCCTAACCGCGGCCCCGTCGCCTCTAGCCTCGGCCCCTCGCAACCCGTCGCCCCTAGCCGCGTCCCCGGTGCCCTGTAGCATCATGATGGGTAAGAGGGTGGCAAGAGGGGGTCCTTCCTGCCCGCATGCCCTGCAGTCGCACGCGCAGCTCCGCCCCCGCCCCCCTCCCCCCCCTCCCCCCCCTCCATGGGAAGGGGGGGAGAGGGTTGTTAGAATATAGAACGAATGAATGACTGAACTAGATAGCAGGTGGGTACAAGTAGGAAACCTAAAAGTGTTGTACCCTATAAGAACTACCCCACTACAGCCTAAACAGACTATAGCATATAAGTTTGACACACCCCCATAGGCAAAGTGGGGGAGAACAAGAGGTCACAACACCAGTCAAGAAAGGCAAAGCAAGCTCAGGGTGGATCACAAAGTCACCACGCAGTCTGAGCACAAGCAAATGGCCACAAGGCCAGTTCACATGCAGAGTTACATAAAGGAGAGCAAACAATACAGTGAACACAACCTAGCAAATGTAAGCATGCAGGTATATGTATAAAGAGTACAGTACAAGCAGAGTCAAGAAGAAAGCAAGTGATGCAGAGTAGGTACAAGGCCTAACACAGTACAGAAACGCTGATGATCACAAGGCTGAAGTGCCTTGGGGAAAACATCAGCAGTGTTGGCCTGAGAGGCCACGTAAGCAAAACGAAGCTGGCCACGCTGCTGCAACTCTCGAGCAAGGAAGTAGCGCTGAGCAATGTGCTTTGTTCTGTGCTCCAGTCTGTGCTCCTGACACAAGGCAAGCATGGCCTTGTTGTCGACGTACAGAACTGGAGGAGAACGAGGCGCCTCTCCGAAGTCGATCAACAGGTAGGTGAGCCAGCGTAGCTCCTGTGCAGCCATGGCCCCAGCGTAGATCTCAGCCTCACAACTGGAGCTGAGAACATAAGAAGAGCAGGTAGACCGCCAAGAGACAGAACCGGAGCCAAGACTGAAGGTGTAGCCCTGTGACGATCGCTGCGTAGCCAAGTCGTCAACCCAGGAGGCGTCAGCATGACCAGTGAGGACAACTCGAGCCCGTCCTCCATGCACGAGCCCCATGCCCGATGTACTGCACAAGTAGCGCAACACCCTCTTCGCAGCATCCCAGTGCACCTTTTGGTGCCTGCCGGGAGCCACGTAGCGAGCCAGAAGGCTGAGAGGGTATGCGAGGTCAGGTCGTGTGCAAGTCATCAGGTACATGAGGCAGCCCACAAGCTCTGGATACGGGCCACTCGGCTCTACGGACTCTTCCGAAGGTGGAGCTGAGAGCGAGTGACCGGTAGGCAGAGGAGTGGACTGTGGCGAGGAGTACGTGAAGCCAAAGCGCTGAAGGACCTGGTGCACCATGTGTGACTGAGTCAAGGTAATGGTGCGCTGTGCTCTGTCCCGGGTGATCCGCAAGCCAAGATAGCTTGTCAGCTCATCCAGGTCTGTGCACGTGTGTCTCTTCTGCAGCTCGGACTTCACGTGGGCGAGTGCCTCAGTGTCAGCAGTAGCAAAGACGAGGTCGTCTACGTACACGAGAACATAGAACGGAGGCAGAATGGTGACAGTGCGTAAAAACAGAGAAGGGTCAGCAGTGGAAGGAGCAAACCCAAGAACAGCAAGAGTCGTCCTCAGTGTGTCGTGCCACTCACGGGGTGCCTGGCGGAGACCGTAGACTGGCCGCCGGAGAATCCACTGGGTACCAGCAGGAAACGACCCAATGAAACCAGGTGGGCGGCGCAGCCAGATCTCCTCGTGCAGGCTGCCCTGTAGGAAGGCTGTGCTGAAGTCAAGCGAGTGGAGCTCGTAGTCACGGTGAGCGGCAACGTGCAGCAGTACCCGAAGAGTGGTCATCTTCAGGGTAGGGGAGAAGGTCTGGAAGAAGTCAACTCCCTGTCGCTGACTGAAGCCACGTGCAACGTAACGCGCCTTGAAGACAGGCGGAGAACCCGGCGGCCGCTTCACCCTGAAGATCCACATGCCACTGACGATGTTCGCCCCAGGCGGGGGAACCTCGTCGACGTAGGTGCCTGTGGACTTCCAGGAAGCCATCTCGGCGTCCATGGCTGCCTGCCACTGAGAGGAGTAGGGACCCTCTATCGCCTCTGCGTAAGAGTGCAGGGTCGGGATGTCTGGTGCATCCGGGTCTCCCTCAGGGGCAAGCAGCATGGACACGAGAGAAGGTACAGCAGTGGCAAAGCACTCAAACACCTCCTGTCTGTCCTCAAGAACGTCCGTGCCAAGAGCACACTCACCCCCGATGGACGGAGGACAGACAGACGAAGATGCAGACTCAGCAACAAGACTAGTTGCGAAGTCTAGGCGACAGGCTGCAGCAAAGTTAACAAGCTCAGCAACGAGAGCAGACGCAGCATTGGTCAGTGACAGCAGTGGCCAGAAAGGGCGGGACAGTAGGACTAGCAGCACGAAGGGAGTCAGACTCCGGGTCCGGACTGTCAAGAAGAGAGGACGCATGAGGAGACGGCAGAGGGACACGCTGTGGAGCAGTGGAAGGACGCAGAGTCATAGAGTGAGTGCCAGGGACAGGAGGAGGACACGGACGCGAAACACGACGACCAACGCGAACAGTGCGGACAGGCGACTCAGAACGAGACTCAGGCGACACAGGACGCGACTCAAGCTCACGACGCTCCGTAAGACCTCTAGTCAGTCCAGAGTAAGGAGAAGGACCAGGCAGTGGAGGGGCCGGCTGGAACTGCGACTGTGACTGGACAGGCGGTGGACTCAGTAAGGGAGGAGTAGGACCAAGAACCTGCTGAAGGAGCGGAACGTAGTACGGCCGCGCGGCGCCTCCAGAAACGGCAGAGACAGCACCAGTACCCTCAGCTCCAGGGTCTCGAGTAACAGCTCCCGCAGCACCACCAGCTCCAGGACCTGTAGCGCCACCGCCTGCAACACCACCAGCTCCTGCAGCTCCAGTACCTCTAGTACGAGCACCTCCAGGACCAGCGACTCCAGGGATACCTCATCCCTAGAGTCACACTGAAGAAAGAGCTGCAGGTCGTCAACCCACACGTCAAAGTCAACTGCACGCCCCTCAGCATCAAAGGTGAGAACAGTAGGGCTAGCCATAGAAGCAGTAGCAGCAGTAGCAGCAGTATGGCAGCAGAGGTAGTGCAAGCAAAAGGGCTGCGCGGCTCGGCAGTGCGGCCCGGCTCGGCTGGGCGGCACGGCTCGGCAAAGGCGGCGCGGCTCGGCTGGGCGGCGTGGCTCGGCAGGGCGACGCGGCTTGGTTCCTGGCAGCGCGGTGCGGCAGCATGCGCAGGTGCTTACCGGGGGCGGGTGCAGGGCAGGGCCGCGACAGGGGCAGCTGTAGGGCAGGGCCGCGACAGAGGGCGGCTGCAGAGTAGGGGCCGCGATGGGCGGTGAAGGCAGGGCCGCGACAGTGGGCGGCCGCAGGGCAGGGCCGCAACAGGGGCGGCAGCAGAGCAGGGCCGCGACAGAGGCGGTTGCAGGGCAGAGGCCGCGACAGCGGCAAAGGCAGGGCCGCGACTGGGGCGGCAGCAGGGCAGGGCCGCGACAGGGGGCGGCTGCAGGGCAGAGGCCGCGACGGGCGGCTAAGGCAGGGCCGCGACTGGGGCGGCTAAGGCAGGGCCGCGACTGGGGCGGCAGCAGGGCAGTGGCCGCGACAGGGGGCGGCTGCAGGGCAGAGGCCGCGACGGGCGGCGAAGTGTTGGGAAGTGGCCGCGACAGGGCGGCTGCTGGGCAGAGGCCGCGACGGGCGGCGAACAGGCCGCGACGGGCGGCAAAGGGGCCGCAACGGGCGACGAACAGGCCGCGACGGGCGGCAAAAGGGCCGCAACGGGCCAGGAACAGGCCGGGACGGGCCGGCTGAGAAGGGCGGGCGACTGCGTAGCTAGGGCAGGCGCGAGGCGCGCTTCGGGCAGGGCAGGAAAAAAAAAGTTCGTGGTGGGCCCTAAAAAAAACGTTCCCACGAGGGAACCTGCTCAGAATACCATGTTAGAATATAGAACGAATGAATGACTGAACTAGAAAGCAGGTGGGTACAAGTAGGAAACCTAAAAGTGTTGTACCCTATAAGAACTACCCCACTACATCCTAAACAGACTATAGCATATAAGTTTGACAAGGGTGTGAGGGGGTGGCGGATGTGCCTCATCAGCGGCAGCTGCTGCCGCGCCTCCTCCTCTCTCTCT